TGTAAATAGGGAAGGGTGGGCTAGGAATGGGGAAAAAATAAGAACCAAGATTCATCATGTAAAGGTACAAGTTCCCAATGAGAAATGTAAATGTGTTGTATACCTAAAATGTACCAATAAAAGAATTTAAGAAGAAAATTTTGTTAAAAGTTATGAAAATCAGAGGAAAAATTAAGAATTTGAGTGGAAGGAAAGCAATTGTTTATTACAGAAAGCTCCCAGGAGAAAATAGAAAAGGGCCCAAGAATTTATTTTTACACTTCCAGACTTTTCTGTGATACAACTACTTTGGCGGTGCAGAGCTGCCATTGAGTGAACTGCAATCAGTTCTCATCAGACCTATGCCACTGAAGCATTTGTTGTTTGCTTTGTTCCTCCCCAAACATTGGAGAAACAAAAGATGAGTTCACTGTCAAGTTTTCTGTGTCTCTTGCAAACAAACCCTACTTGTATAAAAAGTTTCAGATATCTGATTTTTATCATTGAACCCAACTTTGGGCTGCATATTAAATGTGCCATTCTACCCTAGTTCACATCCATTTCTCATTTCCTTTTTCCTATCTGCATGCATAAATTCTTTTAAGATAAGATTTATATTCTAGTTTGCTGCAGCCTTATTTTAACAGGATATTAATTGTAAACCTTACTATCTACTAACTGTATCTTTTAAAAGGACATAGAAGAATATTTATTAAATGACTAAATATGTTCCTCATGTCTGTAAAGATGTTGATATAGATTAAATACTCTTCCAGAAAAATTATTGGAGAATTATTTTTATAGCCCAATTTCCATTGCAATAGCACATATATTTATCAAGCACAAAGGCAAATGAGTCAGTTCCTATTCCCCATATGGAGTCAGTTCCTATTCCCCATAGGTGACAAAGTTCAGAAAGAAAAACTTCCACCTACAAAAAGCATAGAGCTTCTTCCTATAAGCTTCCTGCTGGATCTTCTATCTTTAAGCAGGAATTTAATCTGACTTTTTGGTTCACAACTATTAACATGCATAGAAAATGTCAGTAGAAGAAGGAAAAGATGTGAGCTACACTATGTTTGAATAGTCTAAGAAAAACTGGAACACTTCATAGACACTTCTCAGCCAGGACAGAGGGCAAAACGTTCACTTGATATGGGATGAATTCTATGTTTTGTACACATTCCACCATGTGGAAGCCCCCGGTGAATATAGATGGTAGAGGGCTGCAGAAATATCATACTCATTGTCTCATTGA